TCTTCTTCTCTTTCTCTTCCATCATCATCACTGCCATCACCATGACCACCACCACCATGACCATCACCATGACCACCACCACCATGACCACCATCACTATGACCACCACCACCATGACCACCATCACTATGACCACCACCACCATGACCACCATCACTATGACCACCACCATGACCATCACCATGACTGCCACCACCATGACCATCACCATGATCACCACCACCACACTTCAGTTGTATGGTACATGGTCTGTGCCAGGCTTTGCTCTAACTACAGGCACTTCCTGTATTAACGTATTTAATCCTCACAACAAGCTCATAAGGGAGGCACTAATGTCAACTCTGTTTTCCAGAGGTGGAAACTGAAGTGCAGAGAGGAAGACTCCCATTATGTAGGCTGGGTAGACCAATTTACAGATCTGTGCCAAGAAATCTTACTGATTAAGAGCCAGAGCCTGTGCATTTCAGTGACTGTTCCAAGGTGAAGCAGTCCGTATACATCCACGTCTGTCTGAACAAGCCCTGTCTACCACATCAGGCTTCCTCCTGCTGTTAATAATATTTTATCTTTGTGAGTTATTTTATGTTTCCTAAGCACTTCCATACCCTTCATTGTTTTTAAATCTCCTCACCATGATTTAGACAAATATGATCACTTTATAGATCTTAAAATTGAATCTCAGAAAGCTACCACTAGTTGTAATAACAATGATATTAATGATAGCCACCTCCCACTTTTGGCAAACTTAGTGTTCAAGGCAAAAAGAGCTCAGAAAGAAAGGGTAGATTTGGGGCTAAGATGCAAGTCTTCTGATGCCAAGTCCAGAGTTTGCTCCACCCTTGAAAGGCGGGTCTCTCCAACAAGATTAGCCCAGCTGTGGCAGGGGAGAGAGGTTTACAGCACCAGCTCAGCATTCGGTTGGTGTGGTTTTTAAAGTAACGCAACATCTGTCATTAATTAGAGTTCCTGTTGCCATGGTGATGGTTTATTATTGCTAGGCTGATAAGATGGCCAATTCAAGAATACTATCTTTCTCCTTTTCCCTCTCACTCTCCAGCAAAGATTTTTCGCTTTCTTTCTCCTCTCACCTAACAAACATAACTGACCTTTTGCCACAAAGCATGAAACATGATGTTGGTTCCCTGGAGATAATCTTTGGAATTTTTTTTTTCCCTTTCACTCAATGCAGAGGCTCTGTCAGGCCAACTTTGATTCACATTTCATTTCTCATACTTATTAGCTCTCTGAACAAGTTAATTATCTTCCCTGGGCTTTACTTTTTCATCTGGAATAAGTGATAAGGAGGCCTAACGGGCGAGTTTATTTTGAGAATTTGATGTAACAAATCTGAAGATGTTAACACAGGGCTTGGAAGGTAGTGGATACTCAAAACATGATAGCAGAAGTGATCATTAACATAACGGCAATAATTATTATTTACAAAGAGATGAGATGAAACAGGCATTTAGGGTTGGGGGCTGAGGTCATTTTGCCTTCAGTCATTCATCAATCATTCTAATTTGTTCTTCCACTGAAACTGTCCTTTTTCTTTACAGCCCTTAACCCCAGGCATAGTGTATATTTATTTGTATTTATTTATTTAGCTGTCTCTTAACACTCAACTGTAAATGTGATGAGAACTGGTATGATGGTTATTTTGCTCATCATTGCACCTAGGGGGATATTTGTGGAATGAAGCAACAAATATTTACCAAGCAGCTATTCCATGTCAGTTTCTGTGTTAGGCACTGGAGATATGGAAATAATTAAAGCACAATTCTTACCCTTGAGGCATTCACATAAGGGATCTATGAAAATTGACAGAAATAAAGGAAATGAGGCATTCATCCCAACTCCAGAAGGGTTTTTGATAAATCCAGTGGCATAAATGGAATTAAATCTGCAGTAATCTTCTAGCACAAAGCATCAATGTGGTGGGTGGTATGGATATCTCAAAGCTCTAAGTGCCAAGAAGGATTCAAACTGGTTGTGTTAAGCCCCCCAAAGTAATTAGAAATTCTCTTTGAAACATAGAGTTTATAAAGAAAGAAAGAAAAAGAAAAAGAAAGGGAAGGCCTTTCAGAGGGCTGGCTCCCTGGCCCCTCCCAGAACAGTCTGATCCCCTCTGCTGGTGAAGCAAGAGGTCAGATCCCCAGACGGAAAATCAATCTCCAGGAGTCGCTGGATAGAATTTCTAATTCACCAGTGCCACGACACGCAGTCTGTTTCCAGCCAAGGAAGATGAGGCCCAGAGGCTTTAGCTTCCCCAACCCACTGTACACAATCAAGCCAAACTGACACCCCTCTGCTAGCAACACACAGCATCCAACCATCATGCAGGCACAGAGGGCCGTCGTGAGAGCCCTTGAACATACCTTTCTTAATGGCCTGGATCTTTCATTTTGAAGTAATTTTATTTTTGTATCTTTAAGTAATAGTATTAATTACTTTAATATATTAGGGTTATTTCCTTCGAAAAAATCTAGTCCATTGCTGCTTATGTTCTATAGAGCCCTCCAAGGCTGCCATGCTTACCATGGGGAAAGACAGGGAGTGATGGGGTAAGCAGGAGCCGTGGTTCACCTTCTGTCTTTTTTATATATCAGCCTCCCAAATGTCCAACTGCTTTACATTTTTTGAAAACTAGACCTGATTCTTTCAGTCTAAATAAGAGGCATCAGAGGCCCAAAGAGGTAGACCTGTTGCCCCAGCTCACACATTGGGCTGTTCCATAACTGAACCCACTCAGGATGGGGGAGCTTATTTTTGAAACATGAGGGTAACTGAGAATCATAAGGAGCAGTCTGGAGCGAGTGTTGGTGTGAAGAGGGAAAGCTGTTTCAGCTATAATCTAGGTGGTCTTGGATAGGATTTTATCTGTTCAAGACTTTAAATCCAAGTCTATCCACAAAGGCACCACAGCTTTAAGTGGCTGGCTTTCTGTGTAACCAGCCAAGTCTCTATAAAATTTCACCTCCAGTTCAATACAACATACATTTATCCAGCACCTACTACTGGTTAAAGATGAGGAAGATGCGGCCCCTTACTTGGAAGCTCCTGCTCAAATGGGGTAAGGGGACACTGAAACATCTAAGGGCGGCATCAGCAGTAAGCACAGGGGGACAGAGAAGGGCAGGGGTGAACCTTACCAAGAGGAGTTTCCCAAAGCAACTTTACAGAGATGGGTTTCAGTATTATTCCAGTGAGCAGACTCTAGGGTCAGAACATCCAAGTTGGGTTCACAGCTCACCAGCCTTGTGACCTTGGGAAAGTACTTAACCTTTTTGTAATTCAGCCCTCCTAGAATGCAAAGCACAACTCATGTCAGGACCTCATGGGACTCTAGTGAGTTAATATACAAAAAGGATAGGGACAGGGGCCGGTGCATACTACATGAATCATTTTCAGGAGCTCCCTGAAGACAGGGGTCCCAGCTCCCCACCGCACCACAGTATGCTGGACCCACTACTGCCGGCTGTTTCCTAGTAAGTCTAAGCACTTGTTTGAACCTCCACTTCAGGGTTGTCTATGAATTTCTCCTCCGGCGTCTGCAGTGGTTAGTCAGCTTACTGAGATGAAGACAACCGCTATAATCCAATTACCCAAACCGTCTGGTCTGCCAGGATCCCTCCTCATCAGAGATGCTGACAGGTGAAACAGACACGGCCAACTTGGTAGGAATTTCACTCTGACTGACTCCATCCAACACACGGGCTCGTCCGGCACAGGTGTCAGTTGACAGGGAAGGTGGTGGGGAGGGGAGAGGGGTAGATTCTGAGCTGGTGCATGGTGGGTTTTGCTCAATTCCCACAGCCCAGTGGCACTGTCTCAAAAGGTGCCTTCTCTATCCTGAAATCCTCAAACGTGGTATGTTTCAAACCCCCTATACACAGATAGATGTGCTCTAGTGAAATGGGACAGTTTCTAGGGGGCATTTGAAGAGTGTTCCCCTTCTATTTCAGGGACTCTTCAAAACTAGAGATAATAAAGCTTTGTTATTACTCCCAGGCTAAATTAATGTCTAGGCTGTTTTTCTTAAGCAGGAAGCAGTGTTATCACCTAGGAAGCACTAATGTTGATTTTTTTTTTTTTAAATGAGACTATTGGCCTACAACTTTTTTTGTTTTTAACAAGAGAGTCAAGGGATGTTGGGCACAGGATTCTCCCAAGACTCCTGATCAAATTCCTAATTGATCTGTTTATAGTTAACAATCCCCACCTCCAAACAACCGAGTCATTATACACAGCCTTCTCTCTTGCTATTCTGACCTGGGGCTCTTCCCAGGGGTTGAGCTGATCTTCCTTCCATCCGTGTTTATTCCTTTGCTCTCACCAGCACCTCCAGAAAAGTCCTCTTCCTGCTGTTTCTCTGCTCACTGGAGGTTAACATTTCCACTTCAAGTCCCACTTCTTATCCCAAACCATGCTTCTCTTTCTTTCCTGCTTCTGGCTATTAGTTATCAGAGAGTAGATGATGTACTGACATGCTCTGGCTTTAGGTTGCTTCATTTTTATTTATCTAGCCTATCAGCCACTTGAAAGTGGCTTTTCCTTATTTTTTTTTTTTAATTTTAATGTATTTTTTATTTGTAAAAAATGCTTGGCCCTATACCACATAATCCAGCACTCTGATATCACCTGTAGAAAGAATGTGTGCTTGGGGACAGAAAAACCTGCATTCAATTTCCAGCTTGAATATTAACACCCAGTAGAATTTGGGTGAGTTCTTTCAGTTTTGTGAGTCTGTTTACTCATTTGTAAAAACGGAAACAATACTTTCCAAATATTGTGAGAATTAGTTAAGAACAGTTAAATATTGTCCCATAAGGAAATTTTTACAAGAAGACCACAGCAATATGAGTCACGCATGCAGCTTCCTTACTATCTGCTTTGAACCAGGAAGAAAGCTTGGAAGACTCTGAGGAACAGATACAATTCTCTAATAAACCAACAGGCTCTGAGACCTATAAACTTAAGTTCAATTCCTTAGTATCTGTGTGACTTGGCAAATCACTTGCCTTCTCTGAGCTTCCATTTTCTTATTCATGGGGGTGTGAATAATCACATACCTAACACAGTGACTCAGAATAGTGAATGGTCCTGAGCTCTGGCTCAAACAAGAGTAGCACTAGTCTGGGCACTACCCTGAATTGTGCCTGACTCTAACTTGTAACCAAGCCTTGTCTCCTTGGAGAGGTGGTAAGCTACGTGATGCTGTTGGCCTCAAAGCCTAACTTAGAGTTGGGTTATTCAAAGTCAGGTATTCAGTAAAGATGCTTAGGTCAGTTCCCTGTCTTTTGGGCATCACTTAGTGAAAGTGAACTGCTCTCCCTGGTAACCAGCCCTCCTTCTCCAGGTAGCCTAGCTCATTCCAATAGGGAGAGAAGAGCAGAAGTGAATTCACTGTAAGGACTGACTTCTCTTTTCATAATTAAAAAGCAGCCATAGCAGAGTCCAGGCAGGAGAACCAAAATGACTCAAGGTCTTTCAACAGGAAGGATTTAATACAAGAAGTTGGTTTCATAGGTGACTGAAGAAAACAAAAAGCCAAGAAGATAATGTTGCCACAACTCAAGAGATCAGTGACAGCACAAAGCTGCCACCCCTTTTGGGGATCAGGGGGATGATGGGAGGCCGTGGGGTGGCTAGAGCCAGGAGCTGGGGATGCCAGGCTGGAACTGAAACCAAAGAAGGGCTGAGTGGCCAGAAGTGGAGGATGAAAGGAAGAGGCTGGGAGCTGGAATCACACAGGAGCTGCTTTTCTAGTAAAGGGAGAGTTGACCTAACGACTCCCCTCTTCCTGACCATCGGGTCTTCCACTGGTATCCCCCACTGGCCAAACCTACCCAGGGGCCAGCTGCAAGGGAGCCTGGGAAATGTAATACAGAGCAGAGTGTGGCCAGGGGATGGGGGAAGGGGAGAATAAAGCTATCTGAGAGCAAACCGGCAAATGACCATCCTAGCCATCTTTGAGTAACACATCCAAAGCAATGGCACAGTGTGTGATTTAGACAGTCAGCTAATAATAGGACTGACATAGATATCACTATAATTTTGTCCGACTCACACTGAAAGTTTATTCATACTGGTAACTGCACTAAATACTTTATACATATCATGTCATTGAATCTTCACAACAAACTTATGAAGTACACACTCTTAACAGTCTTATTTTCACAAATGAAGAAACCGGCTTAGAGCGGAGAAGGGGCTGACCGAAGGCAGGGCTATAACATTAGAACACAGGATTAGAACACAGATTTAGGGGATACCAGAGTCAGTGCTCTTAACTCTGGTTCTAGCTATTGTTTATAATATGAATCATAGTGCTAACAGAAAAAGGGAGGGTACCAGATAAGCGGAAACTTCTCATAATTACTGGGAGGATACTTTGAAGACCTACATTTCTAGGGCTGAAAGCCTAGAACACTGTGAGCATTAAATGTGCCCTTAAAAAAAAGTAGAGATTAAAAATAAATGCATCACTTAATGCAGTTTATGTAAGTCCATGGTGTTCCCTCTTGAAGGCAACAGGGTATTTTTGCTAAGAGGATGCCAAGTTCAGTGGCTTCTGCAGGCTTGCTGTTTACTGATATTTGATATGCTTCAACATCTGTTGCCCTTCTCGATTGATGGGTGCTTCATTTTAGCACTTCCCCGATGCCAGGCTGGTAAAAGCTTTGGTACTGAGGTCCCCTAAGACACTCCTGGGTCACCAATACAGCTTTGCTTGTAAAGCTGGCTGAAGGCAGAAATATTCAGGGAGGAGAGGTGAAGGGCCATGCCATCCATCGACCATGCTGCATGTTCTCAGCTGTACCCCTGGGTCAAGCGACACCTTCAGAAAGTTATAAACCCCGGCGATCCTTTACTTAAGTCAAGTTTCAATATCATGCTCTGGGCTCTTCACAAACTAGTATATGATGAATTCTTCTGCTGCTTCTGTGAAAGTTCCATGGAAGGATTTTTTAGGTTGGTTTTTAAAGCAATAGCAATTTTAGGATTTCGTACCAGGGAAAATGTAGTCTCTTTTGGGGAACTGGTATACTTTCTTGAGTCCGTGGATACCACAGCACTTGACACATTCCCAATTTCATCTTGGCTGCCTGGAAGCTCAGAGTAATTCCCTTATTTATGGGTCAGAGACCTATAGGCCACTCTGTCCCATAAATCTGTTTGGTTTGTCACTCACCAAATTCAGGGTTAAAATAATTTGAGTTTCAATGTCCTCAGACAGAGTATACACTCTACAACTTGGCAAAGAATCAAATCATTTTGCCTTTTGCTGGTATCTCCCCATGTTTATATGGATTACCTGTCACCTGAAGGCATATGAATTTGAGGATCCCCTAGTCTAAGTGGTTGGTGTATTCTCTTCTTTCTGCATAGTTTCTGATTTGTGAGTTTTATTTTGCTTAGTTTTATTCTGCTTATTCAGATATTATAAGCTTCCTCAAATTCTTTACGGAAATAGAGTATAAATGATAAATAAACAAATTGTTTTCTTCGCTGAGCAGAACTTCCAAGATCAGAGCAAGCAGCTGCATTCTCACTGCATCCAATGGCTGGCCATTCCTCTGGCCTGCCCCACCTGCTAAAGTGTTACCATGGCTAAACGGTTATCATACTAAGATGCGCTCAGCTGTACCTTTCCCTCAAGCACAAGAAAGAGAGAATTTCTTCCTTACTTGTGAGTGAGGGGCCTGGACATAATCATGTGGCGCCTGTTCTATCTCTAGCACATGTTATGTAAATCTAGCTCTAGGTGCCCTCCGAAGCACTGGGCTGCAGGGGGGTGGCGGGGTGGGTCTGCCGTAAGACCACCTGAGATGAAACCTTCATTCCACACTAGCCAACGATGTGACCTTAGGCCAGCGTATTGATGTTTTGATGCCTCAATTTCCTTCTTTATAAAGGGGAACAACGATACCGCCTACTTCACAGGTTTGTTACGAGGATGAAATTAATACAGGAAGTGACATTAGTGTTTTCCTGTGCGCCAGGCAACTTTGCAGTAACTCAGTGGGTCAGTTAACATGAAAGTGAGGCTCAGAGAAATTAAGTAGCTTGCCCAGCCGGGTTAGTTCACACAGCTAGCAGGCCGAGAAGAAGCCACACCCTGGAGTGTAGCAAATCACTTAGAGGGCTACTTTTTCTCTTCCACCCCATTATTTCCTCTCATCTGGTCCACAGTGGATTCAGCTCACTTACCCTCTTCCACCCCTGATCCCTGGCAGGCAGCTAACAGAACACCACACAACTGATGCTCCAGCAATTACTAGTATTTATTGTGTTGAGCTGAAAAGGAGAGAGATTTGTGTAGGACTGAAGCACAGGTTCCTTTCTCTGCTTTCTAGAAGCCCCTCCACTGCAAAGGTTAAGAGCAGATGTGGGGTCATATGGGCCCCTCCCCTAAGTTCCAGCTCCATCACTAGCTAATCCTCCATGGCCCAGTTCAAATGTTGCCTTTTAAGGACTTACCCAGCCCTCAAGACAGTGGAAGGCACTCTTTCATTGGTGGTCCATCATCCCATTGTATAGCAACTGTAGTTTAAACAAATAATAGCCAACATTAACTGAACACTATTTCACCTTACATGTTCTAACGTGTTTACTTCTTACAACACAAATTGTAAGATGATATACCTATGATGCAGATATTATGGTTATCTTCTACAGATGAAGGATCTGAGGCACAGATAAATTAAGTAACTCACCCAAGGTAAGTGGCAGAGCCATGATTTGAGCCCAAGCAAGGCCCCGAGGTCTTTGCCATTCACTTAGCATAGACTTTTTCATAATGGTATCTGTCTATGTCCATTTCCTCCCCACTAGATTGGAACCACGAGGGTACTGAGATACATTTCATTCATCTTTGTCATATGGCCATCTAGGACCGTCCTTGTCGCATGGTAGACTCCTGCTGCTGAACCCTGGCTTAAAGCATTAAATAGGGATGTGGCGCCTGGGTGGCTCAGTCAGTTGGGTGTCTGCCTTCGGCTCAGGTCATGAACCCAGGGTCCTGGGACGTAGCCCTGCGTCGGGCTCCCTGCTAATCGGGGAGTCTGCTTCTCCCTCTCCCTCTGCCCCCTGCCCCCCCGTGGCTCATTCTCTCTCTCTCACTCTCTATCTCAAATAAATAAATAAAATCTTAAAAAAAAAAAAAAGAATTAAACAGGGAGACTCATCACCTACTTGAATCAAGGCCCACATGCATGCCTCTTCCCCATCTAGTCCGTTGGCATCTGTCAGCTGAGCTCGCAGAGGCCACCCAAACTCCAGCAGTGTAGGAGAGCAGAAAATGCATCCTGACATCACAGGAAGGACCAGAGTAAAAGGTACGTTAATAGGGGCAAAAACAAGCCAGTGGAGTGATTAATTCGGCCTCCCCTTCAATATTATGTTTACACAAGTTGATTATATAGCACTTAATTACTAATTTGCCCTACTTAAACCAAGAGTGCTTTTAATTTTTAATGAGCTAAGGGAAGGAGATGCCTTTACTTAGTAAGGAGAGCTATTTTATTTCCTTCTCTTGTTTTGCCCAGCCAATTAATAACATTTCTAAGGAAATGCATCCCTCTCATGAATTCTTTCTCCCCATCATCTTCTCGACCTCCCAGGTTTAAAAAGAGATGGAAACAGACAATAGCCACTTAGAAATAAACCGACTTCACCTTCTGATCTGGCTGTCTGGGTCAGGAAAGGCCTTGTGAAATGTAGAAACATGGGACTTAAAATGGTGCCATCTGATTCTTTGGGCATTGGGTGCATCTATTCCCAGAAACCATGACTTGGTTGTTATGGACAACAGAGAACACAGCCATGGGTGTCCAAACAAGGCAATCCCCCTATAATCCTGCATTATTTCCTGGGTGTGAGCATTAGGTAATTTTAAGAACAGCCCCGGGACAGTCTAGACATAAGGAGAGTAAAGAGATTGGCATCAGATCTGGACTTGATTGACAGCTCTGCCACTTGCTCGCTGTCAGACCACGGGCACATGACTTAAACTTCCTGAGACTCAGTTTTCTATCTGTAAAGAACCTAACTTGCAAGAATTAAGTATCATCTAAAGTGCCTTAGCAAGTGCCCCACTCAGAAGATGTGCAGGACAGTATTAGTTGTTCTTTTTTTTAGCAGAGGTAAGGCAGGAAATTGAAAGCAGGATCAAGGAGCACCTTTTGAGGACCCTAGGATGTCTGTCCTTGTCTGCTGTGGAGTCTCCATCAGTGGCATTCGAACAGCCCGGCCATAATGCCAGAAGGAGCTTGCCCCAGAATGTGGACACACTGACTCTTTCATTGGGAACATTTTAGTATGAGCATTCTGATGCAAGTCCCTTATCTCATCGCAAATCAGTAACAAACCTTTCACAGATTGGCCTCTGGTCCAGAGACCAACCTAACAGCCCAGCCTAGATGACTGTGTTGGTCATTTGCATGTGCTCCCAGAGACCCCCTCCCCACCCTTTTCCGGGCCTTGCCAGGCTCACTTGTACCAACTATATCAACGAGTTCCCTCTGACTCTGAGTCCAGCCAATGGGGAATCCAGCCGTAAATCAGAAAGTGGGAGGAAAAGGAGGTCAGTAACTCAGCTCTTTCCTTCCACAGTCACTGACAAGCAGGCTGACTCAGTAGTTTCCACAGAGGCCTCTGTTCTGGGGTTCCAGCAACTGTGCTCTTCACCTCTTAAGGTCCAACTGTTACAAACCCCAGGGTACCACATCCTCCCTTGTGACTTCTCCATGCCCTGGTCTACAGTCCTGTAAACAATCCCTCTACTAAATTCTCTAAAATTATCCTAATTTGAGAGTGCCCTCTGTGGAGGTGTGGACTAACACAGTGACATTTTAAGGTACATCCAAATTCTAGTTGTCTATTTTTTAAACAACTAGTTTTTTAATTTTAATTTTTTTAAAGATTTTATTTATTTGAGAGGGAGAGAGCCTGAGAGAAGCAGACTCTCCAGTGAGCAGGGAGCCCGATGCAGGGCTCGATCCCGGGATTCTGAGATCATGCATGGCCTGAGCTGAAGGCAGACGCTTAACGGAGTGAGCCACTCAGGTGCCCTGTCAACAACTAGTTTTTCGAACTGGTACTAGTTTTTTAAACAATAGCAATCACACTCAGCCCCAGAAGAATCCATTTCCATTTGTGACAAAGCTGAATAACCCTTAGCTTTGAAATCCTAAGCTAAGCCTTGGATTCTGGCTCGATCCCTTTCTAGCCATTGGTTTTGGTAAGTCATTTCCCCTTTGCTGCCTCATTTGTAAAATTATTCTAACAGGATAGGAAATGTCCTCATATACGACTTTTAACGTGGTATCAAATTTCTAAATGTTCGAATTTCTTGGATATGCATATTATGAAAGACATGCCACTCAACTTTCTGAACACGAGGTCCTTTCCTATGGCTCACTGCAGAGTCCCAGATACCTCCGATAAACAAGCGCAAATTTTTTTTTAAGTTTTTGAATATTTCTTGATCACTTGCCTCAATGCTGCAACCAAAACTCTTTCACTGACTTCAGTACAACCTCTGTACATCCCATGACTTGGAATCAAACTTTGTCCAACATCATGTGGTATGCAGATATGTATATACATGTGTATGTATGTGAGTATTGTGTGTGTCATCTTTTAGGGCCTTTTCCCCAATTATGGAAAATTCCTGACTTAACTAAAGGTCTTGTCTTTCCTGGTCTCCTATTTGGGTCCATAGCCCAATTTATTGTTCTGAACATTAAACTTATAGAGCATGGATCTGCTCTTCATTAGTTACCACAGTGTGATGGAAAAAAAAATTATATCCAACCTATTCATTTCCAGTTTATTCCAAAAGGGAGTTTTATTATGAATGATCATTACAATGGGAAGTCAATTACTTGCAAGTATTTGTTTCCATAGAAAGATCTTATATATCTTTTCAGACTTGAACCAGTATGAAATGTCGTCTTGAACAAAACAAGTTAAAGAGTTTGGTAAACTCTATTTTAGAAATACAGTTCTGTAATCCTTCTGGGTTTCTAAAGGGCTCAGGAGAGGTTTGGCCATTGTTTGCTTTTATAAAAAGTCCAATTCTTAAGTTCCTAACTAAAAAAAGGGGAGGGACATATTTGGGGGAAAAAAAATGTTAGCTTAAATTTTTGTGTTAATAACAATAGTATAAAAAGTGTCTCTTGATTAAAGCTCTGAATCAAAGTGCTTTTCTGTATCTACCTCTATAAAAAGTAAATGAGTGGATTATGATTAAAAGCAAAATAAGTAATAAAATAAAATAAAACAAAACAATACTGGTGGGCATGGTATGAAGTCTTCTCCAGGCAAAGGAATCAGAAAATTTCCAAACCAAAGAGGGCATACTTGTTTTTATTTCTGTATTTGAGACCCAAACAGTGATGACAAATGTGTGCTGCTGAGAATTTCTATAAACCATACCACCCGGTGAAGGTCGGTTGCACTGCCATGTTGGAATCTATGCTTTTCCTGGGCAAAGTGTATATATTTACTGGGATATGGTTTGATGGGATAAAAAAAAACATGGATTTTGTATCGAGTACGGCTTGATTATGTCTCCATGTTTCAGAGTCTCATGTGCACACTAGGGACTGTTACACACCCACTTATTGCCACAAAGATTGTATGAATGGTAAGGGATGGAAAGTGACAGGCCCTCTTCCTAGATCACCCTGTAAGGAGCAGGAGAGTCAAATGTTATATATCATCTATTGAAATAATTGCCTAAAAATAGAATTCTAATTTTGAGCTAATATTTTGACTTTTATATCCATGATTCCATTCTGCAAAGTAGATTGAAACAGGAGATTTACAATTAATTAGAACCTGAATGTGTTGCCCCCCCCCCCCTTTTCTGGGGGAGAGAGGGAGTGATTCTTGAAAAGATAAGAATGTACTGTTAACCAGGTGTGGTAATAAGTATAATGAATGTTAGGGCCAGCATCACATTCTTAATTTAATCTTTCTTTAAACTACTAATTCTCATTCCAGGATTTTCTGTTGACTTTCTATGAGGCATTGACATATGGGACAGGACACTCGGAAAATTCAATCAGAAATCTGAATCTATTTAATTAGAAACCAGAGTCTCCTATCTCCAGAAACACATGCTTAAGCAGCAAAGGGCAAAAGGCTACTAAAGAAAGTTGATAATATCAGGACCATATGTGAAATGAAAAGGATTATAAAGGGCCTGAGGAAGAAAGCTAGATGGAGCTAAAATTCACAACAACAGACTCCTCGTACACCAGAAATGGGAGCCCTGGATTTTCATCCACCGTTGGTGGGAGGATAAGGTGTTAATAACGTATGTATCCAAATTCTAAAATTGGGAAACTTTTTGGCCAAACAGTTATATTTGCCTAATTTATTTTATGGAAATAACTTAGGGTATCTGCAAAAATTCAGCTATGGAGATGTCAGCTGCAGCATTCTTTATAACCAACAGAGACAACATAAATATTCAAAACGAGGGGACTGGTGAAATAAGCACTGATATATTCAATGGGATATACAATTATGCAATCCATAAAAATGACAAATAAGAATGTTTACTACATATTTCTGGGTGGAGAGACAAACTACAGAACACGATGCATTGTATGAACACATTTTCGAAATTTAAAAAAGTGTAAAGCAGTTTCAAAGTATGTATAAAAATACTAAAGGTATAGAAACCAGAATCTTCCATACTGGTGATTTTAGGGTAGTAAGATCAGTGTGTCTGGATTTTTCTTTCAGCTTCACTGAATTTTCTGATTTTTTTCCCATTGAACATGACTAATGACTTGTAGCCCAGGAAAAGGAAAAAAAAAAAAGCAAATCAAGATTGAATGTGCCAAGAAACGGGACGGCTTCCAATTTCTGAACATCCATGATCTGTCAGTCTCTCCAAACCTCCAGCAACTAGAATCACAATCGCCAGCTTTACTTTGCAGAATGTAAAACGGGCAAGTAGCTGGTGACAGAAAGCCAAGTGAATCTCAAACTCACAGAGAGCGGAATCCCACAGAATAAAACAGAATGAAGACGTACTGGGTCATATATGGCATCACAGGCTTTGAAGCACAGAATAGGTGATGAATATAACTGGCTCTGAAGGAAGTAAGCTTTTTAAAAAAGGAATAGAAGAAGAGGCTTCAGCAAAGCGATGAGGATGTTTGCAAGGCCTGACCTCGAGGGCAGACCACTGTGGTCAGTGCAGATGATTTCTCTTGTGGACGCACATCACAGAAAGGGTGAGTGATCACGGCTCTCAACAGGCCACTTACACATACTGGTCTGCAAGACACAGGAGTCTGTCTGGGACGTGACAAGGGAAGCTGATGGTGGGAACACATGGAGTCAATGGCTTACAGAGGCGGCAACTCTCACACCATGGGAGGAAGAAAGATTTTGATTAATTGCTTGATTCCAAGGGCTTATTTTCTTTATACTGGTACGTGCCTTACATTGATTGGGGAATTCTCCTTCATCTCTTGTCACAGTCCCCTTTTGCTGACTTTTGCTTCAGAGGCTTCCTCTGCTGCTTTTTTTGGGGGCGGGTGGGAGGAGCAAGTGTCCACATAAGTAGCACTGTTAGAATTAAAGCTTTTTTCATATAAATAGATTGGAAACAACAACAAGAAGAAAGCCCTGTCTTTTAAGATAAGAAATTACAGAAAGCTAAATGACATCTGCAGGAGCCTGCAGGAAGCAGAAAGTGGAAAGTCATTTTGTATTTCTGCCTCTTTGCCCTTTGACTGAGTTTCTTTCACAGCATCTTGAAACCGGTTTCTTGTTTCATGTATCCTTGGCATTTCTTCGAACTTCACTACTGCCTGTGCTTAGAGAATGTGAGCACATTGGTATTTCATGGATGTATTTCTTTCCAGTTTGTTCTTTTTCCAGGGCCTGGGAGCCTGCAGAAGGGTTATGGGATGCTCCCAACTTTCTAATCACAATTATTTGCTTTCTAGGACATTCAGAATTACAGAATCATTTTGTAGTGCATGGACAACCAAGGGAGTGAAGGAGGGGTGACTTCTGGGAGATCAGGAGTGGTCAGATGGAAAGGTCACAGAGGTCAAGACTGCGTGGATTCCATATTCCCATGAATAAAAGGAGGAAGGAAGACACCCCCTTGCGTCCCCTCCCACTTACTCAATAGTTGAACTTGTACCATGAGGTGACATCTCTGTGGTTTGATTCCATTTTACTGTTTAAGCTGCGGATCTGAGACATCCGTGAAGATAACCATGCCATGATACTCACCACACTATCTATTGGAGGTAGAGTTTTGAAAACTACTAAATGGAGAACACCATTTCGAGAGAGAGACAACTCTTTAAGATACTATTAGTCATTCTGTTCTTTAATACAGATGGATGGCTGCATCAGTACCCTCTGTGAAATCCTCATTTGAAAGTGGGACTAGCAGGAAGCTTTCAATGTCTAAGGGACGGGAGGGCAGGAAGGAAGCAGGGAAGAGTGAAAGAGAGAGAGACTATGAGGATGGCCACATGAACGAATAAAAGAACAAAAAGTGGAGGCCAGGCATTGTCGGCAGGCTTCAAAACTTGAACTAGTAATGGACGTCATGCTGACTAATCTCTCCCCTTAATATCCCACCCGAACATTCTATCCACGATCCCTCGCCATCTGATAAAATTTCCCCAGAATTGCAATATATAGACAGGTTTGCAATTATTATAAGTAAAAACTGCAACTCTGAATCCTTCTGACCTATTGGTATCACTATAGGAAGGCACAGGGCTCTACCCCTCGCTAAAGACACGCACTCATCGGCCCAGAAAATCGGAAAAACCTGTCTCCCCTAGGACTTCTTTCCTTGGTCTGTAGCCTGGGTCCTCTAAACTCTTCCTAGTCTTTCGTTCATCTGGAGGAGATGACTCTGGCTGGGTCTACCAAAGTCTGCACACTATGGTAGTGTAAACTGAAATCCTCCCTCTAACCACTGGCTGTGTGGCCTATGAGAAGAGAAAGCAACATTGAGTTGCTGGCAGGAATCACTCAACTTTCTTAAAGGAAGGAGTAGCAGGCACCTTGAAGACCAAGTAGGATCTCTGAAGTTCAAAGAACAAGCTGTATTGAAGTTCTGGTTGAAAAATATGAATCACAGGGAGAAAGCAATTCTGTTTCACATCAACGTGCCAGAATCCTGAGCTTGTCCCCAGGCCTGGGGCACACGGGTTGGTGCCTCTTCTTTGGAGAGGGGTGAATGAAGACAGGCTTATGTGCATTTACATTTCCAAAGCGGTTCTGAACGTAATGACTATAGCAATGTTCATAATTTTAGCAGGGGCATTAGAGTGCAGGTCATTAGAGTTTTCAAGGCTCTTTATCTCAACAGTCCCATGTGAGTGGCAATTCTTCTTCAAATACTTTTTTAAACAGGAAGTAAGGAAATAAAGTAAGTACCTGGAGAGGCCAGGTGACACTGCCTGAAGATAGACAACAAGCAAGCACAGGGGTCAGGATGACGGGATTCTCTTGGGGATACAATGACAGAGGAGCTTCCAGGGCTCTCTCGGCTGGGGGCTCTCTTTACTAGATTATAGTGTCTCCTAGAAATTCCAGTCACAAGGGGCTCATACTTCCTTGGGTTTAATAAGAGAGAGGAGCTTGTCTTTAAAATGTTGTGAGACTTGCAGCTGCTACTTGAATCACCAATCCCAATATTCGACGTACCCTATCTAAGATTCTGTTCCAGAAGACTCACGGAAAATCTCATGTAGTGACGATGATGTCAGTGAGGAATTAAGTTCAGTTTCCACTTAGGGAAAGATCGTGAGAGGAATCGTCTTGGAGCTAGAAACTCCAGATTTGACCAATATACCACTGAGGTACCTAAAGTCATGGTATTACGTATCTATCTGATGAAGCAGCCCCATCCCACGCTACTCTTTGTTCAAGCTGCAGACTAGCTCCTGATTTGTGACCGATGGCATTTCTTTTCAGAAAATACAGCTTTAAACATTTACGAAGCCAAAAACTATTTTTAACACAAAAAGGAGAAAGAAAATCGAACCAAGTATAAAAGGAATGAAAAATCAGGATGGGATATAGATCCAGAGAGCCTTAGTTTCAATTCTGCTTCTGCCCCATATTACCTGTAGTCTTGGGAAAATTACTGAACACCCTTCTGAGCTTTGGTTTCTTCCATATAGAACACAAGGATGAAAACATCTACCCTTCAGGCAGGGAGGTTGTCAAGATCAAATGAGGTGCCTTAGTCTGCTCATGCCGCCATAACAGAGTATCACAGATTGGGCATTTAAATAACAGAAATTTATTTTCTCACAGTTCTCGAGGCTGGAAGTCCAAGATTAAGGTGCCAGAGGGGTCAGGTTCTGGTGAGGGCCCTCTTCCTGATTTGCAGAGGGCCACCATTAGGCTGGGTCCTCACATGGCAGAGAGAGAAAGCACCAGCTCTCTGGTGTCTCTTTTTAGAAGGGCACTAAGCCCGCCATGGGGACCCCACCCTCACGGTTTCATCTGACCCCAGTCAGCTCCCCAAAGACCCAATTTCCAAATACCATCACACTGGGAGTTAGGGCTTCAACACAGGACACATGAGGGGACGTGTTCATTTTACAATATGATGCAATCCTATGCAGGGCCTCTCGGAGCATCTCTACTGTTTTGGTTTAGCTACTATTTGTCCCAGGCAGGGCATCTAGTGGTGAGAGCATCTTCATAAACGGATACATCAAAATAACAACTGACAAATCATTGACATTTCAACAATAAAGAAGCTCACACAATGTTTTTGAGAGAGTACCAGAAAATCCAGAAATCGCTGAGAATTCAACTGCACCATCTTTGATTACCAACTTCATTTAAAAGCCACTTAGCATTCACGAGTGGACTCAATTCCTTGGGAAAGATATTTCACAGACATGAGTTCCCAGTGCTTGGACAGTGTGCAGGATACCGTACTTCTCAAAATGTGTACAAAGTGCACAGACAGATAGCGGAATCAGCCTTTTGCACCTGTGTTTCTAATAGTGCCCCTTTGGTTCTGTTACCTTTTTGGATCTCTGTTGTCTAACCTCTGCTGCCCCTGTAGGTTACAGTGTCAGGAAGATCACAGGGAGAGCACCCAGCACAGTTCTTGGTACATAAATAGTACTCTAGTGACTGGGTTACTGGTGGAAAACCCAGCTTCTCATCCTGGCCTGGAGACCCTGAACAAGTCATTTAAGCTCTCTGATCAAATATTTCTTGAATTCTCCATTGAGGCTGGGTAGCCAGACTCCTTGGTTCTGGCATTTACTAGCTGTCCCAGTGGAGGCCAACTTCTATCATTTCTTTATGCCTCAGCTTCTTCAACTATAAAACGGGAATAATGGGCCTACGTGTGCATTCCTGATCTAGGGAAAGAACTCATAATGTGCTCCTGATGATTATTACAGATAAAGAAATGGAGCAAAGAGCAGAATAGTCAGCTCACAGAGCTAGGAGGTAGTCAAGGTAGGATCTGAGCCCAGGCAGCCAGAGTCCAAAGCCTGTGCTCTCAAGACTCCTCCGCTGATGTTTCTCTACCTTTTCATAAACCTGTTGTTAGTATTGTTTTTTTACCACTCAGAGTCTCTCCGTAAAACCTACGTGTGAGATGTCTTTTGCAACTTGGTTGCAGGAAAAGCCTCCTCTCCCACAAGATACTAATGTTTCCTCTTTTTTGGAAACAAGAATTATGCAACTTATCATGTGTTCATTTTTGTCTTGGCTGCCAGGAAGCTCAGAATCAAACTGTGTGCTCCATCTCCACCACCAAGTTATTTCCTTCTTCCTATATCTTTGTTCCTTATTTTCCCTTTTAATTCTTTTTGTTTAAACTAACATTTTCATTTGTGTCCCTCATTGATAGAGCCCTCAAAATTATTTGGAAAGTGGCAGGTGGAGATGAAATAAGCAAACAGAGATCTGAAATTTACATGAAAACCTTAAGTTTCGAAACTTACCTGTTTCATTTGCTATAAAAATTAAAAAATAAAAAGGTCAACAGGAAATTAAAAGAAATCACTTAAGAGCTATTTTAAAGGAGAAAAAAGAAAACTAACAGAACAGAATGACCAACACCAAGAGAGGCCAAGTCAAATGAAAACCGCAATAAATATGTCTGAGGCTAGAAGTGTTTGTGTTTTCCCTGGCTGGAACCTATCATTTCTTAATTATATCCTATGTGTGTTTTGCAAGATGGGAGCTGCTGTCAAGAGGAAGGACAGCCTCAGACAGGGGAGGAGCCACGACCCACCCCTTAGTCCTCACATACCTGTACAGAAGCGAAATCCCCCGAGGCACAGGCACCCAGAATAGCAGCGCCCACGAGAACAGACTCCACCTCTTGCGACAGGACCACAGGCATGCCTGCACAGGACAAGGCCACACCTTGGTTAGGGAGCCGGCCAGCAGCCCCAGCACCAGAAACACCTGACATAATGTGGCGTGAAGGCAGCAGTGGACACCCGCTCCCCGGTCCCCACAGTGCTCCGGTCCTCGGCATGACCTGATTCTAAAGGATTTCACAGCCTGTACCTGCTGGTAAGGCAGCCAGGAGCCCCAAGGGACCTGCCACCCCGTACATCAACTCATGAGACCTCTTTGCCCAGATCTCCCAGGCTTCTGCTAGCTGCTACCTGCCATTTGGTTCAAGTTCGTTTCAACAAACACTTCTGGAGTGCTTCGAGGGGCCCAGGGAATGCAGAGATGAATCTGACTCGGTCCTGCTCTTTGGGTCTCAAAGGGGAGGTGGATGAGAAAGAGATGACGACGGTGCAGGGGGTTGGTTCTCTAACTGAGATGCACTAAGAACAGGGAAGTAGTAAGGGGGTGTGATTAATCCCTCTGGCAGCTTCTTATTTCTCTGCGTACAAGCCAAAGCCCTTACGATGGCCGCCAAGGCCCTCCAGAGCTGGTGCCCACCCTGACTGTCGCCTCCCCTCCTGGCCACGCTGGCCTGGCCTCCATGTTTTCTTGAATCAGCTTTGGGGCCCTCACCCATGCTGTTCCTTCTGTCTGTGTCACTTCCTCCCAGATGCCCACACAGCAGCTCCCTCTGCGTCCTTCGTGTATTTGCGCAAACACCCCCTTCCCGCTGCGGCTTTCCTGACCATTGGGTTCAAAGGGACAACTTACCCACGATACTCCTCATGCCCCCCCGTTTCCTCAGCATCTTCCCACCCAGCATGATTACTTCTCTTGTTTACCATCTGTCTCCCCTGCCAGAACAGAAACTCCATGAGGCCAAGCACTGGGTCTCAGCCACGGCTGAATCCCTGGAATTGAGACTAGTTAACCAGGATCTAGCACATGGTAGGGGTTAAATGGTGAAAGAACAAATTTCCCGGAGAGGGAATGGAGGTTCATCACAATGGAGATGAGCGTTACGGGGGTATCTGAAGGACGAACAGTGGTCCACGAGGCAGCAAGAAAGCCCTCCGCATGCCAGGGCTCACAGTGGGTTTAAGGTGAATATAAAGAATTTAGAATTCTCAGGATTTTATATGTGTATATGTGTATATATGTATAATATAAATAAAATACATACAAAATATAAATGCATTTGCCAATCAGGAGATGGCAGCAGACTCCACAGAGGTAAGCTCTGTAGCCAGACCTAAAAGTCTTCCTCTACTCAAGACAGGAGACTGACTTTTCCAAACACTGGATTTGTCTTCTATCTTTTCTGGGAAGACCTCCCTGACACATCTACCCCTGGGGTCCCACTACCTCCTGACTCCTCCTGCTACTCCCAGGCTGGGTCAGCAGCCTGGGCCACCCGGACAAAGGGTCAGGGAACAGAACTCCCGCACGCAGGCAGAGGGCTCATGAATACCAGCCCCCAGACCGCAGGGCCGGCACCCGAGTCTCTCCTGGAAAGTACAGGGGTGGGATCTCTGAAAAAAGCTCAGAGCCAGTCCCACTAGCCCTGGGTCCTTCAGCAAGTTACTCAAACATTTAACCTCGGTTTCCCAGTGTGTAAAATGGGGATGATAGTAAGACTTGCTGCACCGTTTGCGGCGAGGATTCATGAGAGACGGCACACAGGGGGCTCAGCACATCTCTAGCCTCCGTCAAGCCTTTGGCAATGGTGGCTACTACCGTCAGAATGAAGACTGATGGTGAGTGAAGGCCCTCTACACATACTTCACTGGGCTGGAAACTGCAATGGTGGGGAAGGGACAGGGCAGGTGCCCATCTACCGTCTACAGGGGAAGGACAGACACCGGGCCACATGGAAGGGCTGTGTTGGCCAAATCAGGAGAGCACTGCATGCCTTTGCAGAATCCAGGGATGATGCGGACAGGAGTGTGACTACAGCCGCCCCCGCGGACCTGGCACTTGTTAAAAGATCACAAGCACCTCCAAACACCTCCCAGCCCCTCCTGACCCTGTCAAAAGCCTAACTAGTTCTGAGCAGGGAGGAGTGACCTACAGTCAGTCCCCTCCCCTTGAGAACCAGAAACCAGAGTGAGCCCGATGAATCCCCCACCAGCTCTCTAGTTGCACCCTAAGTGCTCTGGGGCCAGACTGGAAGAGTTTGAATTCCGGCTTCCTTGCTGACTTAGCTGTGTGATCCTAGGCAAGTTACTGCACCTCTCTGTGTCTCAGTTTCCCCATCTGCAAAATGGGGCTAAAATTCCACCTCCCTCTAGGGCTGCTCAGAGGATTAAAAGTGCAATTTAAGTAAGGCACTTAAAACAGTGCTTGGCTTAGAGAAAGCACTAAATTAGCATTAGCTATTAGGATTCTTAATACTGACCTGATCTCTAAAACCTCTCCTCATCCCTGCCATGGCAGGGGGAGGGGGGAGGGGGGACCAACTCACTGCTTCTGCTTCTCCTTGAGGTCAGTCCTCCCTCTTCCCTGCCCACCCCCAGCCTGCTGTAGGTCCCAGGACACTGGCGTGGGTAGACCTCACCCAGGGCTTGCTTGTCCTCATGGTTGCATCCTTGACCAAGCTCTAGTCCGGCGGCCTCTTCATGCAGCTGGTTAGGTTGGGTTGGTTAGGTTCCTGCTGGGCCCCTGCAAACCTAGGGGTGGTAAGACTGTGGGTGGCCCCAGGGGGCTGCCTGGTCATCGGGGTTTCCCTACAACCAGCCCACACCCCTGCAAACAGACCCTTTGTTTGACTTTTCTCCAAACTTCGAGTGTGTCATCTGTTCCCTGCCTGGACCTGACTCATACAGACACCAGCATCCCCTGGGTCCCCACTCTACTGTCTGGACACTGGGCAGAGTACCAAGAGCACTTTTTCTCTTTGCAATGACACTTTTGGCAGGACATTATTGTTCTTCTTTGTATCCCCCTGCCAAGCTCATGCTTGGTACACTGGTGTGCTCAGAGACGGCTTCTGAGTGAATAAATGGAGGGACAAATGATGAAAACAATGAATAAGACAGAAAGGGGAGAACCCTTGCTGTAACTGCCAGAGCTGAAAAAAACAAAATTCAGACGGAGGAACATTGAGTCCCACGTCAATGGGGGAAACCTACAATTACTTAGCACACACCAAGTATTTCTTGAAACTACAGTTAAACTAACTGCCAGAGGTACAGGGAGATTCTTCCTCCTCATGTAGAAGACGTTTTCCCAAGTTGGCAAAGCCCCATTCTCCCTGCTTGCACGGAGAAGCCTGCTCCCCAAATGGCAAAGATTTGCTTACAAAATATTAAACTGCTTTTCTTTTTTTTTCCCCTCAAACACACCTCTTTTTTTTTTTTTTTTTTTTTTTTTTGCATGGGGCTGCTTTAAAGGAAGAAGTGAATGGACATGTATTAAACACTGACTTTGAGCCAGGCACAGAGCTTGGTGCTCACAAACTCATGAGCAGGTACTCCTCAGCATGATCTATTAGAGGGAAATAATATTCTTTCTTTCAGAAGAGGAAAGCGAGGCTTGGGGAGAGGTGAACCAACTTGCCCAAAGTCACAGAGGGGATCCCCTGCTCTTTCCACGACTCCATAGTCTCCAAAGAACCTTCTAAATTCCATTGTGTTTTTGACAGGTATTCCTAAGACTCATGTAGGTCCATGGTCCTCTCTAAGCCTTTCTTTGCAGGAAAACCAGAGCAATTACAGTATTTAAAGGCATCAAAGACTCTACCTATACACCCCCTGCAGTGTACGTGCCTTTTACAGGAACAAATGCAAATGTGTTCTTTTCTCTGAGCGGATGGGTGAAGGAGAGGAAGAAGGCAGCTCTGCCTGGAATGTGAACTATTTTATCTGATGCATTAATGAGTTTAGCAGAACCCAAAGCATTTAAAGGCAGATGCACTTTGCCATCACTTGTCAGTCACAGCTTCCCAAAGCAGAGGAATTCCAGCCAAAGAAAAGGTCCCTTTGTCTGGAACTGTAACTGGTCCACAGCCAGAGACAAAGGGTCCAGTTTCAATCGGAATCCAAATAACGATGAACAGCCTTTTCATTCAACAGCCTGAAGAACGGTTTCCAAAGCAGAGCTTTCTGTAAAGCTGCTGTGAGTCAGCGCAGGGACGTGAGGCCTGGAAGAGGACCCACGTTCATTAAGGCCGGAGCCATGGTGCCCGGTCAGGACCCAGGGTCATTCACACTGCCCTGCTCCCAGGGCCCTGTTTCCCATTTCCCGCAGGTGATGTGTTAGCCAAGGCAGATCTTCTCTCCCCTCCTGCATCCCGGTAGGAAGGCTTCGTGGCTATCAGAAGGCTAGAAATTGGGAAGTTACTCACAGATCACATTTTAAATGTGAATCTTGTCCGACTGGCCGACTTTTAGATAAAATGTGGTTATCAGTTTTCTCTTGGGGAAAATTACAAGGTAATTTGGGCTCCTTTTTTTAGGTCTTTCTTCTTTCTGCCTCAGAATGGCCCACATCCATAGGCTGTGGACTCTTTGGTAAAGGAGAGTAATCATCACATGATTACGAATTGCTCAGAAAAGCTAAGAAACCTGGATGGGCAGCGCAGAGTAGGGGTTGCTGGGCCTAGACACTCCCAGGTCACGGTCCTGGTACCGCCCGTCCCCTCTTGTCTGACTCTGGAGAGGCAATTTCATTGATCTCCCTGAGCCTCAGTTTCTGTGTCTCTAAGATGAGGCACCAATTTCTACCTCTCAGCAGTTCATGAGGTTAAATGTATACAGAATGGCTCCAGCAACACACAGTGGGAACTTGGTTAATGGTAGTAATTTCTGTACTCAACATCCTGACATATTTACCCTTAGACTAGGTGCTTTTTTTTTTTTTTGTACTGTCCTCTGGCTTGTGCCCCAGTCTACTTACCTCTATCTAAAATGGGGCTAAGTAATTTAATTAGCCGGATCTCACAAAGTGCAAGGGTTAACTATGCGCCTGACATTTGGTATAGCTCTCCCCTGCAGGGATTGGCAGGGTGTTGAGGGGGCATAGGGGATATGATGAGGCAGCATCAAGACACCCAGCTGTCAGAGGAAGGAATCCACAGGATGGGAGACAGCAAGAGACCACGACGAAGGGACGCCATTGAAGGATGGGCTCATGTCACGTTTGAGCTGGGGCTGTGGGCAGGGTCCATTCCCTTCTGTTTCCTTTCCCTTGTCCCACTCTGGTGCCTGGCCATGGTGGGTGGGTCCCGGGGTGGGGTGGGGAGGATGCCAGGCTCCAGGAGACACCAGGGGAGAAAGGAGCAAGAGACATGAGGCCACGAGTTCCAGAGGAACGGAAGTCCAGGCTCGGCTCTGTAATACCAGCAAGCCTCTGGCCAGTGGGGTCCCCTTCTTAAGGCCCAGGGATCTGCACCAGGGATCCTGCTCTGCTGTGCTCATATCACAAAGGGATCAGCCCACGACTCTGGATTTTCTCTCTCTGTGTCAGGAGCTATGAAAGAATCACAGGATCTTGGGATCTCAGGGCTCAAATTCCCATCTGCAGCCAGACCCCTGCTTCCACAGCAGTTGGGCTCTGACTTCTTTCTTCAAGACAGCTTCCTTGTCCTTTCCTCCAGACCACTTGCCCTGCCCTGTAGCAGGTCCAAACCAGGGTGGAGGTACCCCACTATGTTTCCATAAAACTCCGTGCATTTCTTACTCTGAGCTCTTGCCACACTACATTTGCACATCCGTTTGTCCTTGTCAATAGACTTTGAGATCTTTGAGGGCAGGAGTCCTGTCTTACTCATCTCTGTCTCTTCAATATTCCCCACAAGCGTGCATTAGAAGAGGTGCTCAGACGGTTCCATAAATACTTAAGTTACGACCTAGCCCTTGCTGACCTTTCTCATCTCATTTCTCAGGATCATTCAATAGTTGGATTCACAGAGAAGTCACTTTCTCCAACATGACTACAAATACTTCACAGTTATCATAAGGAAAAAAACATACATTTTAACCTAAAGATTCAAAATAATCTGGCACATACCCCTACACTCTGCTATTTCCAACCGTGTCCGGCTGTCAGCCAGGCACATTTACTGTCAGGCCCCAAACGACCTATTCTCTTCCTCCTCAGACTCACCTGTAATGTCCGCATGCATCTGCACAAAAAGGGGATTCTTGCTCAGGCCTCCGCACAGGAAAAGCGTGCTGATAGAGTGCCCGGCTGCCTCCATGGCCTCTATAATGAGGCGGGTGCCAAACTGAAAGGGAAAAGCGGAAGAAAGCATCAGTATAGCAGCACAAGGAAAAAGCTCTGGAACATTTACTAAGTGTTTGCCCAGCCCCGGACACCACACTGAGAGCTTTGCACATCCAGTCTCGGAGAGCTGAAGCTCCGAGAGATCAGGTTGCCTCTGATCACTGTTAATGAAGTCACAGAGCAGGAATTCCAACCTGGGCCTGTCTGACTCCCAAACCTCTTAATTACTCTACCATTTGCTTCCATCAGTAGTTACACAACATTGACAAAAACAACTGACAATGTTCACACAGTTCATATTAACAGAGTTCGCCGAAGCAAATATTTGCGGAGTGCCCACTGTGGGCCTGATCCTCCAGCAGGGACCGGGGATGGAGGAAGTGGCCGGGGGCGGGGGGGGGGGGGGGGTCTCTGAGTCAGTCTTCATTCCGGAGATAGGAACTAAAGGGGTTTCTTCTTTGGAAAAGGGCACCCAATAACATCAGCAGCAGAAACAGGAAGAGAGCTCTAATCGCATGAAGTGAGAGTAAGACTTCAGACTGACAAAGGGCTAACCTGACCTTTATTATCACCTGGAACCTGGTGGTGGTTCTTCAGGGATGCTTCGGGAGCCAGAGCCCATTCTAGTCAGTCCTTCGTGGTCTGGGATGATGTGGAAATCACACCCTCTGGCTTGCTCAGTGTTCTGCCATATTTTCATTTCAGCCCTCATGTGCTAGGAACTCCCTAAAATGTGCTATACTCATCCTTGACTTGCTCAGTTTACTCAAATCAGTAAAAATCATGGATGCCTGGGAAAATGACACCACCGTAGGGTCGCCGGGGTGAATGTTAATGTATAATTCTTTAGGTTTAACTAGGATATGCAAACAGCTAAAAATCCTAGTTTATTTGCAAGTTCAAAAACGAGAAGCTCACGAGTCTAATTTACTTGGGGTCAAGGATTAAAACCAAAAAGATGAACGATGACATGACTTTAGGAGGCAGCCACATGGCAATGGTTGAGAAAGGGGCTCTGGAGAGAAATGAGAGAGACCTGTTTTTTTGTGTTTTTTTTTTTTTTTTCGTGGAGAGAGAGCCCTTGAGATGTTTAGAGAGTGATTAATTCTGAGGGATGACACAGTGCCAGGTGTGGACAAGGGGGTGAGTTGATGAAGCGGAGGGAGGAGAAGGTCAAGGATCTGGGAGGCCACAGATGAGGCAGCCACCAAGAAGGCTGGGTTGGGGCTGGAGAGAGGATTCGAGTCAATGTCATGGATTTAGTGACAGTGTGACGGTGTTGCTGGGAAGGTGGTACCCAAGTGTGCAGAGAAGGGGAAGGAGGTAGTTTAGCATGAGGATAGGCTGTATCAGAGGCTTAACCAAAGTGAAGGAAGAGGGTTTGGGAAGTGGTCAGGATGTCCCCCTGACTACTGTCCCCAGGGGGTAAGATGTGGGGCAAGTGAAGCCTCTTTTGACCAGGCAGCTTGGAGGGCTGTCTCCCCCGTGCCTGAGGGTGCCTCTGGGAGAGGGAGTGGCTAGAAGGTGTTCTGGGGACCATGGGTCATGAAATCCTGAATGCTGTGGAGGAAATTATGAGACATGAGGGGCAGTTCGGGAGCAAAAGCACAGCAATTCCAGCCCAAAGGCCTTCAGCTATTAGCGAATCTGGTAAGAATATGGATTAGGTAAAACTTGGGCCTCCAAAAATAATCCACAGATGTAGTGTGTTAAAAAAAATTAAAACATGTTGTACCGTATAAGGCCAGATCCTGCTTATTGCATGTGGCTGATTACCCCCAGATGTTCTTTCATAAGCTTTTGGGGGGTCATGAACCCTCTTGAGAATATGATAAAACCTACTGACCTTTCCAGAAGAAAGTCACTTACAAAATAGCACTATAAATGATTTCGGGAGGCCTACAGATGCCCTTACATCTACCATGGATCATTCGGTGTCTGTGCATTGCAGGACAGCCTAGTCAGCTCGAGGGGCAGGAGTCTGTAGTAGCCAAGAGCATGGCTTTTGAATTCAAGAAACCTAGGATGGCATTAAGACATTTCACCTACTTCTGGGAATCCAACCTGTATCCAACCTTTCTAAGACTCAATCCTCATTTTTTAAAAAAAGTAATAGTAATATTATATTCATGGGTTTGAGAACTCTATGAATTGTCAGAAATGTTAACATGCAGAAACAATTTTAATGTAGTCTTACATTTGGCGAAATATTAGTATCTGCCTTGCACGGCTGTTGCTGGAGACAGTGTATGTACAAGACACACAGGAGTGCCGAGTACATGGAAGGGGTGTGGAAATGAGCGCTATCCTGGTTACTAGCTGTAGTCTAGGCACTCTGCTATGCACTGCGCTATCCTCGCTAATCTTAGGACAAACTCAAAAATTGCACCTTGTTTTCCCCATGTAGGAGTTATGGGATTTGCCTGAGGCAGTAGGGTCTGCCTTGGGAGAGGATAGCTGCACCCCCCACCCCCATATGCATGGAAATACCATGCAAAGTTGGTATTTCTGATACTTCCAAAACCACAGACCTGTGGCTCACGTGATTAGCAGGCCAGAGCGGAGGGTAACACAAAGCACATTCCCTTGGGAAAAGGCAAAAAAGTATCAGAACAAGAGGCACTCCCTTGGGAGGGGCTGTGACAGCCTGCGACTCCCCCGTGTGGCATTGTTGGCTGGAATTTCCCACTCAGGCTGGCAGCTAGCAACAGGGCCTTCCCTTCGGGTGTCCCAGGCTCCACTCTGTGAAACGTTCCACCCTCCTTAAATGCCCTGCCACAGGGCTTTGTGCTAAAATGATTTTGTGCTCACCTTTCTGGAAAAAATGTTTTCACAGAGAAATTTAAATTAAAATTAGGCTATTCCACTGGGAATGTACAGAACCAAATGCAAATCGAGAGACTTCAAATGCAAAAAGGGTCTATTCTGGAAGGAAAGCTATAGATGAACAGGCTATGGATAAACTGGTTGTTTGACAAGTCTTTCAATTAAGTGTGATCAAGAGAGAATTTTACTTCATGGAGCGTTTTCGCACAGTCCCAAGTTAACTTCATTACAATATCTCTTTCATTCTATTCCTACAAAATACCAACCACAGATATCACTATAGAGAGCAATTTGTTTAACTTTAACCTATTCACAGCAAGTAGATGCTAGGGCAATATTCAGAGCCAGTGAAACAAAAAAAAAAAAAATTTTTTTTTCAAGTTGATCATCATGGGAAAATATCTGTGATCAGACTACTTCATTAAAATGCACATTTTTGCTTGAAAGATCAGCACAGCCTCGTACCTTTGCAAAAACGGTTTGAACCACTCACAATTCAACTGGCCCCACAATAAAGCCTTATCAAATGATCGGTCTTAAATTTCCTTCCCTTCGTTGTATTATAAAGGTCATTAAGACAATGGACAGAATAAATATGATAGCTATTAATACATGTACGACCCCTTAAATACAAGATTGATTTTCTGAGTGTGTGGTATTTGGGAAAATGGAGCTGGCTCCACCCAGCTCGCGCCCCATTTAACCTCATTTATATATTCTTGGACTTCTGCTGCCGTGTTCTTACCAGGAAGGGGGCCTCTGAGAGGCAATCCTGGCCAAAATAACAACGTTTGCTAAGATGCGTACAAGAAAAACCGGTCTTGGAAATGCCTGAAAGCTGATTTTGTCCGTGTAGCTTTTACAAACATTTCAAAGAAAAATGCAGGTTGGTAGAGGGGAAAGAGCAGAAGAATGGGAGTGAGACAGGTGGTTCTCGGACAGGCTCACGTTCCGACTCCACCATGCGCCCGCTATCTGACCCGGCAAGGTGGTTTTTCCTCTGTCTGGAAGATGAGGACAATCCCACCTACCACTGTGGGTAGGTACTCTGGTGCCTGGTACAGCAGGTGGGCGTCAGTGAAAGGGGACAGCCCTTATCATCATGGGACGGTGCCCCTTGGTCTGCCTCTTAGCGTGTACTCAGAGGATGAGCATCACACAGCTCTGATTTTCCATTTCCATGCAGTCATTTCATTCCACTCTAAGACTTTTCATACAATAGCACTGACTACCAGAAAATCAAAGTTTCTCAATACTTCATATACCTACTTTATTTCAGAAAGCCATGGCTTCCCATCCCAGCTCTGCCACTTACTAGCTATAGGAAATTGGGCAGGTTAATGAACCTAACTAAGGCGTAGGTTTTTAATGTGTGGAATGGGGATGCTAACACCTACCTCACTTGTAAATATTTAGCACAGTGCCTGGCACATAATACCGCAAAACTATATTATTTATCATTATCATCATTATTACCATAAAACAGGATGACTAAATAATTGTCTTTACTACTGATGCACATTAATCTCCTCCATATTCATTTTACTCTTCACTCCCTCCATTCTGATAGATGCCAGAATTATCTGGTTTTGACCAAGTTCTCATAAATAGTGCCAGCTGATTGATTTCACTGAACTGGCCAAGCTATTAAATCAATGACAGTTGCTTCAGGAAGATACAGTTAAACTGGTATATAAACTGCAAGGACTGTTTCATCTCATCAAGTTGGCCTATTCCATGTAAGACTGTATGTTCCCTTCGTGGTTGGGAAGCTCTGCTCTCTTATCCCATCTACACGGTACCTGGACAAATGTGAACATAAGAAAATCACTTCTGTTAGTGATACGGATGTACAGGAAAAATGTATGTAGTTCCGTTATTTGAAGGAATAAGGCTTTGAAGGAAGTGGTATATAAAGAAACAAAATAACTGAATGGCATGTAAGTATGTCCACAAAACATTAACAAAAAAACTTTCTGTGTGTCTCTGAAAAATAAATTTGAATCAGAATTCAGTGAACTGATTTTTCCTTTCTGTTGGTCCACGTTCTCTTACCAGAGTGACTAAGCCTCACTTAATTAATTGTAATTTTGGGATTCCTCCCAGCTCTGAAACCTGGAAAGCCACGACCCATTCCTCCAAAAGGTACTTCCTAACATATGCACACATACAGTCTTCTGTGCATGTACCCCATTTTTGGATCACCTCGGGAGATTCCTTAGATCGAGATGTTTAAGCTTCTAGGATTTTGTTTTCATTTTGGATTGATCTTCAGTGTAGGACTTCCTAATGCGTTAAATTCTCCCCTCCTCTCCCTAACCATCCAAACCTCTCATTGAAGCAGCTAATTATCTAAAAACAAACACTAAGGATGCTTACTATTTAAAGGAACCCTATAATGAATCCTTTTGCGAAGTGAACAATATCGTGTGTTTTGTAAGTTTGTGCGTTCTTAACATTGCCTTTCTTAATGCAAGCATAAATGGCATCTGCTTCTACTTAATTGAACTTGGAAGACAAATTAAATAAATGACAAGTATGATGTTCAAAGACTCGAACTCCTTTCAGCTTTCAGCGATGTGAGGTGATTAGTAAAGCAGGTGAAGACCTTCATCAAGATTTCCTTCCGAAAAGACACCTCTCTTTTTGGCAAGCTCCCTTTTAATTAACAATCTCTGTCACACAAGCACATGATGTATCTTGGAGGAGCATGCGGCCTAAGGTTTATTGATAGCCCTAAGTCTCTTTAAAAATGGCATTAAAGTGTCTTACAGCAATGGCTTGAACTGTGGCCAGGTACAGAATGGCAAGATCATCGAGGTCCTGAGACAGCTTCAACCCGGTGACCTGTAGGGATGAAGAAAAGAAAAGAAAGAGATGGCCAAAAGGAGCTGCCATGGATAGAGATAGTTCCCATGAAACACGTTCAGATGTGTTTTCTTGCCCAAACAAGTTCATATGCAAATCCCCTTTTTGTGAGCTGAACGTGAAATGACTACCAAATTGTTTAATCTCCAGACCTGGGAAAACGATCATTTCTTCTCCAAGAGAAAGTGCCCTGCCTTGTATTAACAAAACAAAACAAATACTTTACTGAGATCGTGTTTGATATTCCTTAGCATGGAATTAAATGTTTTTCTTCCCCTTTAAAGAAAATGTTCTTTTAGGACAAACACCCATTTTCTTTGGCTTACAGAGATCGACATGGAGCAGTGGCTTCTAGTAAAAGATGATCTTACTCCGAGTTCTGCCGTTGTCAGAATTCAGTGTAACAGCATCCAGGGGGGATTCAGGGTAAAATAATATGTCTCCTATAAATGTTATACCTACTAAGGGATAATTTACAATCTGTGGTTTGCAAGGGAATCCCAGTAAAGTCAATCGGAACCACATGCTTCTATGGAGTGTGTCAATTTCTGAGAGATTCCAGAACTGAACAGGATGCTGGATTTGGATGCCTTCAAGACCTGTTCACAGTCCCTCCTTCACATCTCCCATTTACGAACGTCTTCTCTTGGGACATTTCTAGACGGCGAAGAACTGCTGGGTTCTTCAAGCCTACTAGGAATTTCATGGGCATCAATACCAGAGCTCACTTTGTATTTTCACATTACAAAATTAATTAACATAACCTATGCTTACTCAGGGCCTACGGTGGGTATGATCCTGAGTGCAATGAGGTGGCGACAGGCAGCCTGTGTTCAAAGAGGGGGAGCTGAGTGGTCTACCCAGGTCCCTTTCCTTCGTCTCTCCAGTCCCATTTAATTACCCTTTCTAGACCGCACCCCGAGCCACAATGAAGGGGCCAGTGTTGACCTACTGCTGGGCACAGACACCATTCCATGGCCCAGACCAGAGACATGTCAGTACTCTTCCCCGACTTTTCCCTTCTTCCCATATTTATGCAGTCTCCAAGTTTTGCCCATTTGCTCCCCCAAATCTTTTGTGAATCCATTCCTTCTCTTTGTGCTGTCACTCACTTCCTCAATCCAGGCCACCATTATTCCTTCGTGTGTGCTGAAAGGGCCCCTTTTCTAACGGTGCTCCTCTCCACATGGAGCTAGTAATTGTTCTCACAGGCAAATCTGATCATGTTACTCTGTTAAAAATTCCTTGTTGCCTTCATCTCGAGACATAAATGCCCATGCTGTTTTAGGTACTTCCTCCCAGGCTTGCTCCTGCTTACTTCTCCAGCATCTGTACAAACCCTTCCTCACTTAGTATCCTTTGCTGCAGCCATTCTGATTACTCATGGAAGTCTGTTCATGCAGGGACTCCTGAATTCGGTAGAGCTACCTGCTGATAATTTCTCCTGGCAAATAATTGGGTAATCAGATGAGAACTACGCCTTTGATTTTAACACACAGGAACACGGAAGGTCTGAGTGAGAGACCAGAGGGGAATTCTGGGTAGGCATCCTCCCAAGCCAATAACTCCATGAAGGAACATCCTTTGTTAAGTTCCCCCAGAGACCTCAACATACAGTAAAAATGCTGGGAGGAAGGGAGAACATGAACACTGCTGACATTATAGAAGTTCACTTCATAACATGCGTAAGGAAATAACGTGCCCCAGGGAACACAGAGGATGGAAACCAGACCCTAGCTGTTCCGACAGACTACCTGGGATACTCAGCATCTGTATCTGGCACACAGTAGGCATGAAGTAACTATCTGTTGAATGTGTGAATTAGTGACAATGGTCTTTTTTCCTTTTGTATACCACTGTCTTTCCTAACATCCTAGCCTTTTGTGTCCAATTCCATGATTATGGGACGATCATGTGTACCACCTTGGCTCTTCATATATTTGCAGAGGGGAGGGTCATTTGCTCCATGCCCCAAGAGAGAACACTGGAAGATTACTTCTAGTTGCTTATTCCAGGCTTTCCATGCCCCCTCCTCTCTACACTTAGCTTTCCTCATCACAGTGGCTTATACGGGATTGGGGTAAAAGGAGTGTCCCTGTAGCTCATATGGAACCTTTGTGTGAATTAGATAAAAGTTCTCCCTCCAGGCAGACTAATGCAGAAGGCATCCCATCTGGGAGAATGAACTATGAAAAGAAGCAGAGTGGACAGGATCCCAGCCCTGTTGTATGTCCCTTCATGCGAATGTGTGATCAACCAGCTCCATGGCATGCAATGGTCCTGGATAAAGATCACTCATCATGAATGGTCTCTCTCTTCTGTACTGGCCTGCCCTCAACAGCATCTCTGCTGCTTATCTACTAGGAAAGCTAAGTGGGCCCAGGCCTAGACCTCTCATCCAGAGCCAGCGAGGGAGGCAGGCTACCTCTGGCTCCTCTCTGGTCGTGCCTGCGATGTGAATCAGGCCATGATCCTTTGTGGACTGCGTATGTGTCTGCTTAGCAGACTCACATCTCCTATAGGTGGGTCCTGAAGACCAGATCTGGGTAAACTGTGATGGAATGGGGAAGAAATTTGACTTTGTGTATGAGATTAATTGACTAGGAACCCCAGTGCTGTGTATAATATTGATCAAGTAACATGTTGATAAAGGAGGATAAAGATATCCTCCTTGATTCGTAAGAACCCATAAGGCAGAAGGGGTACAATATCACCAGATTTCATTTTCTTCATCCCCATTTCTTCATTCATGAGAACTTCCCCAAAGTATTGGTATTCAAGCAAAAAAAAATATCATCGCCCCTTCTCTAAATGTCTAGTGCCTCTAGAGCTCAAAAATCACAGAGGAGAAAAGAGAAGATAGTTACTTTTCGCCATAAACTGAGAATGAGATCATGTAAATGAGCACTAAATTTAACTCCTGAGCTTGCTAGTAGCTCCAGCAAAAGGGATATAGGATGGGTGACATCGCTTTTCTTTTTCTGATAAATAGAACATACCTCGCCTTCATGGAAGAAAATGTTACTCTAGGGAAGAAGGTACTCAGCAATAAAAGGCAATAAGTAAGCACAGCCCTCCCATAGCCACCTCTAATATCTCCTCACCATAAACACCAGGGCCATGGAGTTGAAATGTGACCCAGTGAAAGACATTTCTCTCTAAAGTTACTATGGTTCGGGGCCCTCTTGCTTGATATCTCATCTGATATGCAGGTGGAGACTCTGGAAGGGCAGGTAATCGTTAATTCCATCTGAGCTTTCTCTCCAATACTAGGGACCTCAGCCCTGCCTTGGCAAAAGTCAAATGGCTGTCGGCCCAAGATAAGAACTTTCTTAGGAGTGCCTGCCATGTGGACCACTCAGGAGGCTACAGAGACCCTTTGGGGAGCCATCTTGGCAGGGAAGTGACAGCAGCACCCTGGGAATGCCAGGGATGTGCTGGGGGACGTGCAGCTTTGTAACCAGGGAGAAAGCCAGGATGTGACAGATGAGCAGATACCCCATCTGAGGGCTGGATGGTTCCATCCATAAGAGGAAGTGGGAAGAAAGCATAGATGGAAGCAGTGTGTTTATAGAAGATGTGCATGCCTATTTTGAATGTTTGGGTAAGACAGTGAAATGTGTGGGGAAGCCCCATGGGAGAGTTGTGCTGGTAAGCACATTTTATTTATTTTGCTATTGTGTAATGAGGAGAACTGCAAGAGAAAACACTTATAATTAATATTTAGAGACATGTGATCTATATGGTGGCCAAAGAAATGTGAACTACGATTGATGACGCCAACATCCTAGATAATGGTTATAAAATACGTAAATCTTGGGATTTTTGAGCTTGGAAGAGATGTGTGGGGGAATGGAAAGATGACAAGCGATGAAGACACCAAGGTTCAGATCTTGACATTCTCCCAACTGGCTGCACAATGGTGTGTTTTGTGACCTTTCTGAACCTCACATTTTTTTTTTTCATTTATGAAATAGGGATAATGATGCCTCAAGGCACTTTTGTGAAGATTAAATATCACTTGCAAAGTGTCTTACTTTTTCAGGAAGCTAGACTGAGTCTACAAGAGCTAAACCCTTATAGTGACAACTCTGTGAGCGTAGGTGGCAATTAATGTTGATTTTCTTTCCCTTTCTCTTAATAAATGTGCATTCTCTTTCTCTTAAATGCATGAAGGGTTCAGTTCCATTTATTAATTGGAATGTGGCAATAAAGCATCGCCTTCAACATGGTATGGGTACCCCCAGGGTATTAACGAGGGGCACTGAAGACTAGTGCATATACAGCATGGGGAAGATAGGGCAAAAGGCATGTTGACGATCAGCATCAGGATCATAATATTAAAGATAAGAACATCAAAAATGTGGAGAAGCAGTATGCCCCTGATCAGTGCCCAGGGATAGGATGATGGGGGACACACTTGCAAGGACTCCTTAGAGGAGCCTTAGTCCTTATCAACCTACACACTTCCATTCACTCTGTAAATAGGAAGGACAGATGAATTTCACCCTGGACTTCACCTCAAATCTTGCTGCCACTTAGTAGCTGTGAGAACTTGGGCATGTTTCTAGCCCTTTCCCAGGATCCTAGCTGAATGGAGATTTTCTGAGCTCCAACTCCAGATTTATTGACTCTTTGGTGTGGGCCTAGCAATTTGCATTTCAGCAAGTCCTAATGCGCAATAAACCGTGGAAATAATTGTCCTTAACCTTGGCATTGTGAATTATGGGTTGGTAGGTCCTAAAATATTGAAATTATTTAAAAAATGTAGTAGTAATTTAGTTAGCTAATTTTTTTTCCTTCTTAATTGTTAAAGGAATTAGTTATATTTGTTAGTAAGAAAAAAAAAGCTTAGAAATAAATTCTCATGGGGTCTCTAAAGATTACAAAAGACAAGAAAACAGGATCCCCAGTCCTGAGATTTTCTAGGGTCATCAGAGCTTGGTGGGGTATCCAAGGCTCAGGGGAATTGGTTGAAA